GAACCGTATCCAGCGACGTGGGCACCGCCTCAACGTTCAGCTCGTACGTATTGTAAAATTTGGTGAGTACCTTCGGCGTCCAACGTTCTATTGGTTCCTTCAGGTTGTAGCGAGATTCCTTGATATCTGGAAACACACAGAGGTGTCGGGTCAGCACAGGTTGTGAGGCAGTTTACTTGCCAATGCCATCGCCCAAGGACCGCTTGGATGCGCCCAAAAATACGAACGTTTCTGTGATGTCGGCGATGTCCTGCTTGGAGAAGGCCTGGAAGAAGGAGCCTCCGGAATGGCATGCGAATTGAGCTCGAAGGCTCGTCGATTGGCCGCGGGGCATGTTGACGCGCCAGGGGCAGTACTTTGGGCTTCTGCGGCTTGTTGTACTGTCGTTGTCCCATCCGTAGAGCAGCCCAGCAGTTGTTGACGGCTGGACACCATGGCAGGGGAGTTGCTCCGTGGGGCAGGCTCCATGCCTCCAGGCGGTAGCGCGTCCCCGCCCAGGTAGGACGGCCTTGGGCACGATTAGTTGCTCGTTGCTGCGATGATAGTTGGCCTTTGGCGTTGTAGCGAGCTGCTCATGAATAGTCCTTGGCGTTGTAAGCGCGAGTAGTTGCACGCTGAGCGGCTGCGGGTGAGCAGATGCAGGGCGGCTGAGCGTTGCTGGGCCAGTCCTGGTCGTCGGGGTGCTGAGTGCGGCGCGGATTGGATTGGCGGCTCACCACCGCGACACCACGCTGCGGGGCTGCCTTCTTGGTTGGTTGCCTTGAGCCATGCGCGTGCCAGAATGCGCGGCGGACGGGTTGCAGTGATGATTGAACGTAGACGGCCTGCACGCGCAACTTCGTACGCCTGCGGGGCCTGCGATTGCTGGTACAAGCGCTGTGTATGGCGACGGGCGCGCCAGTGCGGGAAGTTTGGTCGCGGTCATCTTGTACATGCGCTGCCATCATGAGCATTGACGCTGGTCAGATGGTGGGTAGCATGGTTGGGTGCTGGCGCGGGACCCGCCAGGTACGGCGCTTGAAGATCTATTGGCCACTCGCTGCGCACGCTCGGAGTTGGCCAACGCACGCGCACGGGTGACAGCTGTGCGTTGCTTTGCTGTTGCTGTTGACGACCACGGCGTCGTTGCAGCGTTCTTTCTGCAGGGGTAGGCTTCCAAGGCCCTTGCGGCGCTGCTGCCAGCGACGAAGGCGTGCGTGGTACGTGTTGCACGGCGTAGCTGTGCGCGTCGGCGAAGTTCTTCGGTCGACGCAAGCCGCCGAGCGAAGCTTGCTGAGCGCGAGCAGGCCGCCTGGTACACCGGCCCCTCCTTCTTGTGACTGGACCAGGCCTGCGGGCCGGGCTGGGAGAGCAGCGCTGGTGAGTGGAGCGGGGGGCGGGGGCGGCGGGGGGGGGGGGTACGGGAGCCGCTGCGCGGCGTGGCAGGCTGGCCACTTACAAACAGCTTCAGCAGGTACTTGGGGGACGCAGAATGGCGGAGTGCGGCGAGCTATTTTGACACCAGAGTTGGCAGCCTGCCTTTAGTTTGTGCAGCCTTGCGGGAGATGATTCCAGCTACTGAGGATCTGTGAGGGCGGGGCCTGTGCCACGCTGCGGCTGTGGCGTCGCGGGAACGCGCGCCTGCCACAAACAAAGCACAGAAGGCGGTCTTATTCATTGGCACATTCAACAAAAGGATCACGAGTACCGTGACAGATACAAACACTAACGTTATATCCTTGGCACAATGCCAACAATAGTGCGTTGGCCCCCATCTCAAGGCTACGCTATTCACAACACATCACAAACACCAGGTCACGCCGTTTCCCAGCAAACGCTTCGCGTGAGGAAGCGAAGGGCGTGCTGGAAGTGAAGACACGAAACATATTCAAATATTCCACAAAACTGTGGACAGTGCTGGTTAGTACCAACATGTCATTAATTAACCTGAGTTGGACAGCCTCTGTAAATAAAGTGAAAATAATTCCAGTATGGCCAATACACAATACTTGTGAAACAAATGGCCTTCGTCCTTCGTAATTAAAAAGATATGAGAAATTATGAAACGGATGGTGAAAGCAGGGTTCCGAAAAAACATGCAACAGTTTGTGTGAAGGTTTTGAAATGTTTCGTTTCTTCAAATCGTAAGAAGAGTCTCTTCGCTTCGCCCGGCCGGCTGATGCAGGGGAGCGCTGCGCGTGATCTTGGTAGTATGACTGTTAGATACAAGATATCCGTTTTAAATGTCAAGATCGCCAAGAAAAGTCAAAATTACTCCAAAACTGCTTATCTATTCATAATTAATATATATGGTTGGATTCAGTCTGTTTACGCTCGTTTTTGATAGGAACCGAGAAATGAGATTATAGTTCTATTTGAAAACAAGAGTTACCTCAATAACAAAAATAGCAATGAATATAATTGATTGCAATTAAGCATCATTCTCTCTGGCACGCGTCAGAGAAAACAAATTTCTGCTACCAGGGTCAGGCTTCCGAGCGCTAGCGCTCTTGGAGTTCAAGGCACGTAGAGCGCCCTGTGGCCTTCGTCCAGCTGCCGAGACGGTGGCGTTCCTACCAGGCGGTTGAAGCACCACGAAGTGTTGAAGATTCCGTTCTGCACGAGGCTGTTTGCTGCAGCTGCTGCCGAATCTGGCGAGACACTGTGGATGATGTTTTGGCCACCAGCTGTCTGGCATACTCATCGTCACAGCGTAGTTGGGGTTCAAAGAGGATGTCAAGAGGGGGTTTCTCAGGGGGCCGTCTTCCTCATATGTGCTGCTGCTGCTTATTATCACTGCTGCTGCTGCTATCCTGCTGCTGCTGCTAGTCATGCTGCTGCTGCTATGCTACTGTCAACTGCTGCTCTGTCAGTTGTGTTGCTGCTGCTTGGGGTTCCCCCCAACTTTTGCTGCTTTTTGCTGCTATCGAACTAGTGAGGAGTCGTTGTCGCGTGTGTCGTCTTGCTCATCGCGTGTTTTAGAAGTTTCTTCGAAGGTTTTGTTACGAATTCAACGTTCAGGATTAGTTAGGAAAGCCCGGGCGGAATCTGCAGGTGTTTGTTTGTTGTCTCTTGTTGTGGCTGTCTATGTAATCGGCGTCGTCGTTGTTCGTCGTCATGTGTGCGTTGCATTGTCGTCCGTATTGGTCGTGTGTTGAAGTTTCGGCTGTTGCTGCCGCTGGAGCGATTTTGTGCGCTCCGGGCATCATCTCGAGCACTGAATGGGACCTCTTCCTGCGGGTTGCTGGGCGCCTCACGCTTGCGGGACCCCTGGTACGACGAGCTGAGGTTCGAGTGGCGGCTGTTCACCTTGCTGCTTCTGCTGCGAGTAGGAGGTACAGCAGAGGGCTGAGTCAGCTGCGATGTGCTCGGACGGACAGCTGCACCGTGCCGTGATTGATGACCGCTTTGGGTGACGGCCATGCGCTGACAACGGAAGGCGCGGTGACGCGTGGCTTGGCCTCGGGTTGGCGCAGTTGGCGCGGCCTCGCGTGCGGGGGCGGGGGCGTACCGTTGATGGCGCCGGCGTCGGAGTTCGCCCGAATGTCGCTGGAGCTGGGGCGGGCGCCAGCCCCATCGTGGTAGAGTGGTTGTGTCGCTTGTCTTGTTTGAAGTCTGACGGTCTTGACGCAGTTGCAGCACGCGGCTTGAAAGGGCTGAGGGCGCGACGTGGGCGCCAGGCTACCTCCTTGGGGCCTGCAGGAGTGTACTTGGGGCAGCGGCGCCACGTCGGTAGACGCGGTGGCGGGGTACTCGCCCAGCCGACGCTCTCCGTGCAGCACCCGTGGCGCACGGGCCTGAGTGGCGTGGGGGCGGGGCGCGGGTCGGCGCGGGGCGCGGGCGCGGGCGGGGCGCGGGCTACCTCCATGAGCGTCTGCGAGCCGCTGCCGTGACGGCACTCCAGATGAAGCGGCTGACGATGGCGCGCAGCACGTTTTGCAGTCGCTTGGTCTGCTGGTGGCGGCGTCCACGATGATCTTGGCGCGTGCCCCGTGCTTTGGTGTCGAGGGCAAAGCGGCGTTGTAGCCGCAGGGCAGGTCCTGCCAGCGCGGGCTGGGCACGGGCGCGTCCCAGCCCTGCCGCAGCGGCCTGGTGGGCACCTCGCCCACCGGGTGTGCGGTCGATGCAGTTTGGCTGTTGAGCATGGTAGTGGGCGCTGGGCGCAGGGGTCGAGCAGGCCAGCCTCCGGATGCGGCCTTCACAGCACGCCCACGGTACTGGTCGCCCACCCTCTGTTTGACGGAGGCAGGCGCGCGGGGCTGGCGCACCTCGACATAACTTGTTACCCGGCTTTGAAGCTGCGGCAGAGAACGCGCGTCAGTTGGCTGCTTTGTGAGAAGAGCGGGGGCACGGGAGGGGGAGGGTGGCAGGGGAGGCACTTACCATTTCTGCTGGCATCTGCGTATCCTCCCCGGCGGCGTACGCCACTGCAACAGATGAGCTCGGGTGGAGAACTCATCAACTGCATCCGCAGGAATTGAGGGATTTCGCCAATTGCGCCACTGCAGCGCTGTCTCTTCGGGAGATAGCGTCATTTCACAAATACTCGCGCCGGATAGCGTTTGTATTTATGGAACCGTTGAGGAAGTTACGACTCTATGTATGCTCTACTTTACGTCGAACATTTTAAGGGCGAAGTCGTTGCAGGTTTGGCACGGTCATCGCTAGAGCTGCCCAGTGTCTTTCTAAAGCTGAACACACACTGGTTGAAGTACTTGTCGAAAAACTTGACCAAAATAAGCATAGGTAAACTTGGCTTGCATTTTTCCTTGAAAATATTGTGTTTAAAGAGTAGCTTCATGTATTTTTATCAGCAACCTCTAGAGAAATTGCATACACGATTTCCAAGCAAAAGAAGCCAAATTACTTTGTTTTGTGGGCCGTGTGGTCCTGCAGTTGGGGAGCACTGAGCTGTCGCTTAGGAGAGGGCACGAGGCAGTGGCGAGCATTTCGCTCTGAAAGCGGCTTGGCTAGTGCGCGCGTGTGTCGGCAC